AATTTTCAGTATTATTAGCCCTAGTGGAGAGGACTTTTAACCTGTGCAAGCCTTTATTATTATGGATGATTTGGCTCTACCCGCATGCGTCAAGACTTAATGAGGTGAACAAACCCATTTTGCAAATCTATCTCATTAGAGGTTATTGCTTGCACTTACCTTTCTAACTAGAATTCTTCACTTTAGATTATTAAATTTGTCTTTTAAATAAGGGTTTGATGTTTGTAATTTTAAATGACATAAGTATGTTATTTTAGGAGAGAAATAAACACAAAAAATAAAAATTATGGGAAAAAAGTGAGTGGTTTTTTTTTTATTTAAATTTTAAATAAAAAAATATTATTTTGTGTTTATCTCTCTCTTAAAATGACATAACTTTATATCATTTAAAATAACAAACACTTCTCCCTTTTAAATAATAATAATAATAACGGTGGCATTTTTTGGGAAACAGGAAATGGATACAAAGTAGGGAAACCTCCGGTTATCTGAAATGGTTGAAATGGTTGAAATGGTTCAACCACTGACCCAATAACTCAATACCATGACAAAATTAATCACCAAGTCCGATTTTATAACATTGGTTCTACCTCCTCCTTTTGATGACGAGAATAAATTTGTTTGAGAGATCATAAAAAAAAATGGGTTGTATCTTTTGCAATAATGATTCAAAAGATCCAAAACCAATAACATTATGTCTTCAATTGTAGTGTCTTTGTGTGGTTGACCCTTCAGAATTAGTGTGAGGGCGATATGTTAATATTGATGGTCTTTATGTGAAGACATGTATTGAAATTCTATCATACTAATTCTCATTCAATCATTAAAATGTTACTGATACAGAGAATGAGAATGAGTTTGAAACAACAAAAATGCAACTTCTAATTTTCTATTGTTGAAATTTTCACCTTTACCCTTAATTGTTCATTTTTCTTTTATCCAATTTTTAAATTTAAATTATGATCATAATAGCATTGCAGACGAATAAAAGCTGATATGATCAATAACTAAATTCTTAAACACTTTGCTGCACAATTTAAAAGAAAAAAAATTATTCAATGCGTTAATACAGTTATTATTTACTTAAATCATTAAATAAAAAATTTCAAATAAATTAATATTGATCACATTAAATGAAAATAATTTTTTTATGATAAGGGAATTTTGGGAAAAGTATTTTTATAACAATGATATATTTAATAAATAATAAATAATAAACTTGAAACATATTATTCTTTAATTTTATCAAAATTTTCAATTGTTATAAAAATAAAGAGAAAGAGGAAATAAAGATTTAGAAAAAAAAACATGACAACAAGAAATTATTAAAGTCTCATTTTTCAGAATTTTTTTCTTCTCATCATCATAGGAAGACATCTCTTTATATAGGAATAAATGGAGAGGAAGTTACACATGTACATAATGCATAGGTTAATACCTATAACAATCGTGGTAAAAAAATGAAACCGTCATGAATTTTAATTGAATTAGGAGAAAATTGGAAAATATTTTGCCTTTGCAAACTAATCTTTGAAATTAAATAAGGTTCGGAAATCCATTGTGTGTGAGAGTAAATCCTACAATATTCCCAACATATCCATCCTAAGACAATTATCTTAAACTGGTTGCATGAATTAAAAATAATTCAAATTAAAGACTATTTATTTTACCACTTTTATTAAACAATGATAAAAATTAACATTCAAAGGCTAAACTTTAATATTTGCAAGAACATTAGAAAGTTAAATTAAATATTCTACAAAGAATAACCCTACTAGAAAAGTTCATTTTTTCGACGAAATTGTTTCGACGAAAATGGTGAAAATTTCGTCGCAAATTGTATTTTCGACGGAATTCAGGCCGTGGAATTTAATTCCGTCGAAAATTTTTGACAAAAAATCAATGAAAATCCGTCGAAAATTATTGTCAAAAATTTTCCACGGAAAATGAATTCCGTCGAAAATTTTCGACAGAAGATCAATTAAAATTCCGTCAAAAATTGTTGTAATGGTTTTCGACGGAAAATGAATTCCGTCGAAAATTTTCGACAGAAAATCAATGAAATTCCATCGAAAATTGTTGTAATTGTTTTCGACGGAAAATGAATTCCGCCGAAAATTTTCGACGAAAAATCAATGAAATTTCGTCAAAAATAGTTGTAATTATTTTCGACGAAAAATGAATTCCGTCGAAAATTTTCGACTGAAAATCAATGAAATTCCATCAAAAATTGTTGTAATTGTTTTCACGGAAAATGAATTCCGTCAAAAATTTTCGACGAAAAATCAATGAAATTCTGTCACAAATTGTTGTAATGGTTTTCGACAAAAAATGAATTCCGTCAAAAAATTTCGACAAAATATCTATGAAATTCCGTCGAAAATTGTTGTAATTGTTTTCGACGAAAAATGAATTCCGTCGAAAATTATAGATTTTTTTTTAAATTCTCTTTACAAAATTAATACACATTTCTATAATTTACCTGATAAAAAAAATAATCAAAGTAAATAACATATCAAAATAAAATCTTCTTAAAGAATACAGTAAATGCACAAAATATAATTTCTTTTTCTTTTATTTTTTTCAAAAGTTTTCGACGGTTCCGTCGAAAATCTTCGACGAAAACGAAATTCCGTCGAAAAGTCCACAAAATATAATTTCTTTTTCTTTTATTTTTTTTAAAAGTTTTCGACGGAATTCCTTTTCCGTCGAAAATCTTCGACGGAATCTAAATTCCGTCGAAAAGTCCACAAAATATAATTTCTTTTTCTTTTATTTTTTTCAAAAGTTTTCGACGGAATTCCTTTTCCGTCGAAAATCTTCGACGGAATCTAAATTCCGTCGAAAAGTCCACAAAATATAATTTCTTTTTCTTTTATTTTTTTCAAAAGTTTTCGTCGGAATTCCTTTTCCATCGAAAATCTTCGACGGAATTCATTTTTCGTCGAAAATCTTCGACGGAGTCGAAATTCCGTCGAAAAGTCACAAAATATAATTTCTTTTTATTTTATTTTTTCAAAAAATTTCGACGGAAGTCCTTTTCCGTCGAAAATCTTCGATGGAATTTCTTTTTCCATCGAAAACTTTTGACGGAAAAGGAATTCCGTCGAAATTTTAGACGGAAAATAGATTCCGTGAAAAATTTCGTCAATAATTTCAACGAAATTCTTTTCCGTCGATAATAAAGACTTTTCTAGTAGTAATAACAAAATTAAAGTCAGCCACCAAAATAAAGATTGAACTAAAATAAATAGATAACATGTTAATTATTTAAATTTTTTTATAAAAACAGCTAAATATGTCAAGAATAAACTGACCGAACTCAAACAATGATTTTGAATTTTTGTATCATTCTTTAATATTTGTATTTTTGTAATTAAGCAAAATAAAATAGCTATTTTTTTTTAAAAAAAGTGTGGGTGCATATATATATGCATCTACATATACAGTGAAAACAAATTAAATTACATAAAGTTATTTAAATATAGCATTACTTGATTTGTTACAGCAAAAAAGTTGTGAGGGTTATACGAAGTTTTGTTTAGTTAATTTTTACAAAAAAAAAAAAAAAAAATCAAACCATTAAAATTTTCACCTATACTGAGAATTTTGCTGTATAATAAAATTTTTCACTGTAAGTATTATTTATTAGTAAATATCATTATTATATAATAAGAAGCAAGGACTTTAATATTTTTAATTCAGAACCAACTGTTCAAGGATTATTGAGAAAATAATCAAAATTTTACTCACATTTTTACTTATATGTTTTTGTGCAAATATTATTTCATTCAAAAAATTAAATTATGAAAAAAAAAATTGTATATAACATTTTACAAAAGTATTAAATATTTATTTATTAAAAAAGTTTAGAATAATTTTCAGTATTATTAGCCCTAGTGGAGAGGACTTTTAACCTGTGCAAGCCTTTATTATTATGGATGATTTGGCTCTACCCGCATGCGTCAAGACTTAATGAGGTGAACAAACCCATTTTGCAAATCTATCTCATTAGAGGTTATTGCTTGCACTTACCTTTCTAACTAGAATTCTTCACTTTAGATTATTAAATTTGTCTTTTAAATAAGGGTTTGATGTTTGTAATTTTAAATGACATAAGTATGTTATTTTAGGAGAGAAATAAACACAAAAAATAAAAATTATGGGAAAAAAGTGAGTGGTTTTTTTTTTATTTAAATTTTAAATAAAAAAATATTATTTTGTGTTTATCTCTCTCTTAAAATGACATAACTTTATATCATTTAAAATAACAAACACTTCTCCCTTTTAAATAATAATAATAATAACGGTGGCATTTTTTGGGAAACAGGAAATGGATACAAAGTAGGGAAACCTCCGGTTATCTGCCAAAAAAGTAGGGAATCCTTTAATTATATCTTTCAGCATTTTAATTCAAATGTCACTAAATCATGAACCCGTTTCTCGTTCTAATTAATTGATGGGTTTAGTTTTTATTAATTAATTAATTTTAAATGAATGTTGAGACTTAAATGATTTCACCAAACCTTGGGAAGGAGTTGATTAACCCAAGGAAGAAAGGATTGGGATAATTAACATGAATTCAAATTAAAGGTATATATGAATCCTAATGGTTGCTATTGTGTGAAGATCCTAGTTTTCAGTATTGCCAATATTTTCTAAAAATAATGGCTAGAGGCAAATTCATAAATTATATTCGGTCAACCTTCTATATTGGTCCATTCTCTCTTCTTTCTTCTTCTTTCATTTTTGTCAATGAGCATTGTTCCTGCATTGTCTGAGCTATAATTTTGGCTATCCATAAACTTGTATTCTTATAGCCTGCAATTAACTCACTTCCATGCTTTATCCTCTCTTTTTTCCATTTGTAATTGAGTACCATATTAATTGTTTACTGTTTAGCCTATATTATACTAATTACTACAGAAAGCTAACAATTCATGTGTTAAGAGAACTATATTCATAATCAACCAGTTGAAAGTTTGATCAAAGTAGTAGTAATGGGTAGCATATTCCTAGACCAAATCAAGAAGCAGACAACAAATTTCCTACAAGAAAAGTATAAATCTGCTAGAATCACGTTTACTGATGTTACTGAAGCTGAAATGTAAGTGTTTGTGTGTATGTATACACAATGGTTTAAGAAATTAAAGGAAGAATAGTAGTACAAAATTTCTTAGGAATAATTTATATGCTGTTCTCACACAGTATCTGGAAAATCATTGGAACTCTTTTGAGTTGTTAATTTATATTTATGGTTTCCAAATGACATTGGCAGCTCTGGATTAATGGACATTAACATATATAATACTATATCATTAGGCTGGCTGAGGAAGCAACAAATAAAGATGATTGCAGCCCTGATGCCAAAACAATGACTAGAATTGCAGAGGCATCCTTTGATGTAGAAGAATATTGGAGGATTGTTGATGTTCTTCATGGAAGGTATATATGCTTGTTCATTGGCTTTTTGCGAGATTTTTAAGCTGGCATATTATATATTCCAAATTTAAAGATGTTACATCTTCTAGCTGCTTATTATATCATTTAAAGTGCAGATTGTACAACATCAATTGGGAACAATGGAGGCAATCTTACAAAGCACTAGTTCTTCTGGAATTTATGCTAACCCATGGTCCTGAAGAGTTTGCCCGAGAATTTCAGTGTGATGCTGAAATTATTGAAGAACTAGGAAGTTTTACACATATTGATGAAAGAGGGTAAAGTTTTGAATCCGACAAATCCAGTTAATGGTATCATAAATTTGTTTATTTTCATTAAGTTTATTTTACTATAGCGGTTAAAAATTAAGATACATGGAAAATGTAAATGAGGGTAGAAATTAAAAGACTACTGAAGTTACACTATCAAAGCTCTTGGTAGAAGAAAAACTAGCAAAAGGAAAGTTTCTAAATTGCTGTAGTAGATAAAATGAATTCAAAAGGGTCTGAAAATATTTTAATATTTTGAAATAAATCTAACCATGCTGAAGGAGCATTTGTGAGTTTTGGTGTTTCTATACTTTGTATAGCATTTTCCTTACAATGAAAAAAAATTCAGAACGTGGACACCTCTTAGTTTTCATACATTGTCTATCCTCTTTAAATATTCTAATAAATTCATAATTTCAATTTTCATTTTCATTAATTCCTGCCATATGAATCAACTTGTTATTTGTTTCAGGTTTAACTGGGGATCTAGAATGCAAAAACTATCAGAACAAATACTCAAACTTTTAGAGGGAGGAGAAGCTCTCAGAGAAGCACGTTTGAAGGCTCTCAAAATAACAAATGAAATACAAGGCTTTGGAAGTTCATTGAACTCTCCATCATCTTCATCATCACCTTGCTCATCATCTTCTGAAGCATCACAAGGCTCTTCATCTTTTTCTTCATTTTCTACAAGAAGTACTCCTGTTTATTACATTGACTCCAATGATCAGTTAAACAAGTACCACTTACCCTCCACAGGAGATGACAATAATATAGTCTTCCCACCAAGGAAGGTAAACCATGGGGACAAAAACCACATTTGGGATGGTCCTGCAGGTGGAGAGAAAGATGTTTTGATTGTTTCTGATGAGGATGAAGACATGGAAAAACCAAAAGGGTTTGTAAGTGGAATCTGCTCCAAGATTATTGGTAGTGGCACTATTGGAGGAAGTCGTGAACAGATTGAATTCAGATGCATCTCTGATGTTGGAAGCAAGAGGACTAAAAAGAAGTTTGATCGCCAACATTCATTTTGGTTTTAAGGGGAGACAATATAATCGTAAAAGAGAATGGCCATATCATGACATGTTAATAGAAACACTAATGATTCCCCTTTTGAAAATTTCATATTGTTTTGTAATTTGTTTTGTCCTTTGAATGAAGTACAAAATATGATAACATTTTTCTTCTTTACTGTACATAATAATTAGTTGAGAGAGAAGTTTCTACCTTACCGAAATAATTTTTAAGATCGAAGAGCATCCAAAATTTGATGCTCTCTCACAAGACCAATTTTTTCTTTCCTTTTTTATTCTTGTTATTTTCTTTCTTTCCCTTTTTACACTTCTTATTTTCACAAAGAGACCAGTCAATCAACGATGATCCCGGAGTACAAAAAAATATTCTCCTACCTTGCATGTGTTTTGTGACACATAGCAACTTATATATATGAATTATCATATAAGATAAGTGAACACATAATATCAGTCCGTGTTGAACATCACTGTATTGTCAAAGATAATGCCCCTTCACAATAGCATTTTGAATTTTTGATAAGGACAAATGTTAGAGTTCAAATAAGAGGATAATTCCAATCCGTTGACAATGACATTAGGCCAACAGTCAAGGTAGGAGAATATTGCATAAGGTGATGCAAAATTATATGGAAAGTAGGCTTTCAGGAAAATGCAGAAGTTTTCTGCTATATTATCATTCTTCAATCATCAAAAGTCTTCTCTCACATCCTTCTAACCTGTCTTTTAAAGGCAATACAAAAAGTAACTGACAACAAAGACCATCAATGGTTTTAAAAACTGATACAAAACGGAAATAATCATAAACAAAACATTAAGTCATGCAAACTGAAACGTCTGCAATTATTAAAATCCATAAAAAGCTTTAAATCTGAAACGTCTAATTTATGGTGACTTAAGTGCATCATCCTCTCCCACTAGGAAAAGATTTGCCCTCGAATCTGCAACGTCTTCAGGTGGTAATCCAGGCGGCAACTCTTCTGGTACAATATCACCAAATTTCCTAACTAAGATTAGGACTTGGAAATGCAATTCTTTGACATGCTTGGTATATTCAGTTGTAGTTTGGATCAATGATCGCATCTGTGATCCGTCATAGGAAAACTTTGTCTGATGTACCAGCAAGTCCCATTGCCTTTGACGATCTCCAATTAAACTTTTACCAAAAGCTAAATCTTTATCTCCATGGAGCATAAGGTTGTTATGCTCGTTGTCCCCAAATTCATAATACTGCTTGCAAACTAAAGACTTCTTGGATGAAAGATCATTCTGCATGATATCTTTGGGGAGAACTTCATCTTTGTCAGAGATATTAGAATTCCTAATAACTGACTTCCCATCGGAATCACTACAAGAGATTTCTTTCACCTCTGGATTCTCGTCGTCTTGCTCCCAATCATACTTATCATAGATAGGGAACTTGTCATAAATTGGAGCATCCATAACAGGATTCTCATCATCTTGCTCTTCATCATATTCATCATAGATTGGGACCTTCTGGTCTTCTGTCAAGTCTATGATGTCAAAGACCTTTTCGACGGTGTGTGACCCGTCGATAAACTCATCTGGATGAGTGGTGCCTTCGAATTCCAGGATCTCAATCTTCACCTCAATATTAGCAAAAAAAGGATTGATTTCCAGGTTGACTTCGTCCTTGTCGCTCCTGGTTCCGGTTCCAGAATCTCCTTTCCTCCTCATGAGATGATCTTTCAGATTCCCATCCTTCATCTGACTCGTGCAACTGTGCCTCTGCAAGCAGTTGTTCGAGTTCTTGGATCCGTCTGTCCTTTTCCTCAATTTCAGCATCTCTCGCATCAGTATAATAATCACCATCGGTAGGTTCACCGCGTCTGCCGCCACGACCTCTTCGTCCACGACCACGACCACGACCACGACCTCCGCAATTTTCCTGCTCAGCCATCTTTAAGGCAACCAGGCTCTGATACCAAATGATGCAAAATTATATGGAAAGTAGGCTTTTAGGAAAATGCAGAAATTTTCTGCTATATTATCATTCTTCAATCATCAAAAGTCTTCTCTCACATCCTTCTAACCTGCCTTTTAAAGGCAATACAAAAAGTAACTGACAACAAAGGACCATCAATGGTTTTAAAAACTGATACAAAACGGAAATAATCATAAACAAAACATTAAGTCATGCAAACTGAAACGTCTGCAATTATTAAAATCCATAAAAAGCTTTAAATCTGAAACGTCTAATTTATGGTGACTTAAGTGCATCATAAGGCCAACAATCAAATCTTTCCAAAAAAAGCATTTGCTCTTTTATTATATGTCCAGATAAGCCAGTTTCCTTTTGGGGGGGTTTTGTATATGAGGCCATAATCTTCATCTAACATTTTGAGCAAAATTTTCTGCACCCTGCAAGCTTTATCTTATCAATTAGGCTTCTCTAATACCTGATTAAAATCCACATCCACAGAAAAATGTAATAGAACGCTTAAACTCCTATAACACAAATCCATTAGAAAAAAAAAACCAAAAATAAAATAAAAGAAAGAACACACGTGTGCGGAAATTACTTTTATAATTGTACAATGGAAATTATTTGACTTCAATAATTTTTTTTTTTTTTTTTTTTTTTTGATACCAACAGAAACATAAAGACAAAGACAAGCCTACATCACACTGACCACTCTTGGCCAGGCAACCCCCCTGTAGTCACTACCTAGTAAATCTATACACCCCTCAGGGGGAACATCAAAATAAACAGTATCCCATCCATAGCCATAAGCCATCCCAGCCAAATAATCAGCCACCCGATTAGCTTCTCTGTACACATGAATTAAATCTACTTGCCAATCCAAGCTCAACAGCTGCTTAATTTTTTGAATCAAAAAAACAAGAGGATGACTTAAAGCACATCCCTCTTTAACAAGCTGGAATGCCACCAAGGAATCCCCTTCCAGAACCACTTTCCTGTAACCCCTGTTCCATGCTAAAAGGAGGCCTAAATAGAGACCCCACACTTCTGACTTAACAGAACAACCACTTCCCAGATTTTTTATAAAACCAGTAACCCAATGTCCAGAGTCATCTCTCAACAGACCCCCACACCCACACTGGCTATTATTCCTTCGAGCTGAACCATCAACATTAATCTTAATCCATCCAAGGGGGGAGGAACCCACTGAATCATCACTTCAGCTTTGAGGTAGCTCCATAACCCTGCTTTCCTGTACATAGTATTTGCATCCAGGAAATTAGCCAGATAAATGCAAGAGCTTCGAACCAGAACATCCACACTAGAAGCTTGATCTTCAAACACCAAGCTATTTCTGTCTTTCCACAGGGACCAACAAATAATACCAAACAGAATATACCCACTATCACCAACCACACAGCTTTGCTTTGGTATCAAATTGGATTGCAGCCACTCTGAAAAGGGCATGTTCAAAAAACCATCCCACTTTCCAGGCTTAACCAAAGTCCTCCACACAGATTTTGCCCAATCACAATCTCTCAAAACATGAGCACAACTTTCAGCTAACACATAACATCTAGGACAGGATTCAGAATCTGACATATGTCTCTGCATCCTTCTTTGGTTTGTAAGCAACTTTTCTCCAAGAGCAAGCCAGAGAAAAGTCTTTATCCTAGGAGGCCCTCCCCAGTCCCAAACAGTGTTCCAACTCAGATTATCCTGCACAATAGGTTCTGTTCTTAGCTTTTCATAAGCTGTTTTAATAGTGAACCTGCCATCCTGGGATAGGTCCCAAATTACCCTATCCTCCCCATCCAGAGAATTGGGAGGGCAAGTACCTGCAACCTGATGCACAGCTTCACTCGTTAAAAGGTGTTCAAACTGCCTCCAGTCCAATACTCTCCATTCTCCTTCACCATAGCTCCAACCTCATATCCCATCAAATCAACTCGAATTTCTTGAGTAACATGATCTCTCAGGAGACCAATAGGCAACCACTTGTCATTCCAAAAGGAAGTATCCTTCCCATTACCCACCATAACTCTGGATCCATCTAGAATTTGGGGCCACACTCGGGTAATTCCTTGCCAAAGATTGGAAACTCCTGGTTTCTTAGAAACATCTGGAATCAAGCAGTCTTCCATCTTGTATTTACTTCTTAACACTTTAGCCCACAATTGATCCTTATTAGTGAGAAGACCATGAGCAACCTTCATGATACAAGCCTTATTAGTCTGTCTTAGGCTCCTGATCCCCAAACCACCATTGCTTTTTAACTTGCAAACAAAGTTCCAAGGTAAAGCATGCACCTTCTTAACTTCCCTATCAGAACCCCACACAAAACCCCTCATCTTCTGCTCAATAAGATCACAAGTTCCAACCGGAATAAGGGTTGTCTGCATAGAGCAAGTTGGTAAAGCCTCAAGAACTGATTTGGTTAAAATCACCCTCCCTGCAAAAGATAAAGTTCTCTATTTCCAGGCATTCAGTTTGTTGCTAGTCTTCTCAAGAATGTGCCTAAAGGTGTTCTTATTCACCCTTTTGTGCAAGATAGGCACTCCTAGGTATTTACCCAAGTCAGCTGTAGATGAGAACTTCATAATCTGGCTAAGATCTCTCCTTCTAATATGATTCACATTCTTCGAATAGAAGACTTTGGTCTTATCCTCACTAACCTTTTGACCCGAAGCTAGACAGAATTGGGACAAAATATTTGTAACCAATTCAGCTTGATTAACCTCAGCATCCATAAATAACAGAAGATCATCCGCAAAAAAATAAGTGAGAGATGGGAGGGCCTTTCCTACCAAGCTTCACTGGTTTCCACATCTTCTGGTCAACAGCCTTATGAATCAAATGACCCAATCTCTCCATACACAAAACAAATAGGTAAGGAGATAAAGGATCTCCTTGCCTAACTCCCCTTGTAGGCTTAAAATCCTCTGTTTGAAAGCCATTCCACAACAGATTCATAGTTGAAGTTGACACACAAGCCATAATGATACTAACTACGGATTCTGGAAACCCAGCCACCACCAGAGTCTCCTGAAGAAACTCCCAGCTA